CTAGTAATGTCTAAGGTTTATTAATGCTAAATTAATGTAAGTCTCATTTAATTAACGTAAATTACGTAATTAAGTAATGTACCTAATTGTTTAAGTGACTACTATAGACTGTTTAATAAATTATAATTATTTAAGTATGCATTAACCTATATTAATGTCGACAATTAATTAATTAATTATTTAATTATAATGTAAATACCTTATATTAATTAAATTTTGCAATGCATTTAATTAAGTATTGTAATAATGTTTTAGAAATAATGATATACAATTAAGTTAATCACTTAGTTTATAACTAATGTTTATAAGAATTATAATCTACTATAATATTTATATGAAACTGTATAAATTAATTAAATTTCTAATCATTTAATTAAGTATTGTGTTATGTAGGAACTAAATTAAGTCATAATATTTATACATACATATATGGCTTATAATTATAGTTACTATCAAACTAGAATTAAGTTTATGAATTAGTAATATACTATAAAATCAAATATATAATTTAATTAAATTTCTAATCATTAATTACGTATGTGTACTAATGTTTATATGTAATGTTATAATTAATCTCAAGTTAATCTGGAATTATTCGTTTTAGGTTACGAACACCCGTGATTGCTTTTTTTTTAAAATTTAAATTAGTAATATATACTATAAAAACTTTATAATGTAACTTGTTATAATTAAATCTACAATTTCTATCATTTAATTAGTCTATACTATGTAAATCAATAACTCATTTTGTAATATAATGTTATAATTAATTAAGTTCATTTAATTTATAATATTATAATTAATTATGTGATCATACTGTAATATATTTTAAAAAATAATAATACCATACTATAATCTTCTCGAAGCCGGATACTGTAAATTTTACCTGACATTAATATTGTTATCTTAACCCGCTCGTTTAATCGTGGTCCCCCTTTACCGCAGATATGCGTAACCTTTGCCAGGTATAATTTTTTAAGTGAAAAATACTAATTTGATTTTTTAATATTTTACCCATTGTGATGTGGATCAGATGACAAACGAGATATTAAGACTTTATATAATAAATTTATCATCAACAAACTAGTATAGTAAATTTTTCTTTGTTATTTCTTCCATATTCAACTTCAACACTCTTTCTCATTGCCCAAAACCCTGAGCGTTACTTTTCGCAATTCAACAAGTTTTTTGTTCCATTCCTTCTCTGTTTCATCTTATATGGATGACAACCTCAACTCCTCGCCTTTCACTCTGAGGACTCGCTTTACTTGATTTCAAAGCAACGAAGACTCAAGATCCTCTCAAATAATGAGATCATGGAATACTTCTATGCATTTCGGCAATTGGACTGGTGTTACATGCAGTCCAACTGATTGGAATGGTCCCAATCTTGTACTTGAAATCGCAAAAGTTGGCGGATCATACCATCTTCTATAGGAAACCTTACACTCTTACTACTATCAACTTGGCAAAACATAGCTTCCATGTGAATTCCTCAAAATTTCCGTTTAAAGCAGCTGCAAACTCCAAACTTCACATTCAATTACTTTGGTGGAGTTTCCAACGAATTTAATCTCGTTGTACAAATCTGAGTGCTTGCATTTGGTTACAACGAGTTTATTGGCAGATTCACGGACCAGCTTAGTCATTGTCGAAACTGTTATATCTGGGACGTGGAGCAACATCTTCCAGAATAATTCCACTTGGGCTTGGCAATATTTCTTCTCTTCTCATTATGTTTCCTTTCGCGAATAATTTACATAGGGAGCTATTCAATGAAAAAGAAATTAAAATATAAAACAGATAACGACAATCTTTGCATAGATTTAAAGTAGATTATAAAAATGAAATTTTGTTTTCTTTTAGAGAGGTGTTATTTAAGCCCCAATAAATCTCTTTATATAATATTACGTCAACTATTTTTGAATAAAAAGAGATTTATTGGGGCACAAATAATACTACTTGGATATAATACCTAAAGGCCCAAGTCAATTCTCAATAAATTTGTTATACTAGTCTTCGATAAGAAATTGAAATTGAAATTGACAATGAAATAACTTCGTGGAAAGGTAACGGGTAAGCTTGAAGACAAGGGTTGACTTGACACTCTTAATTTAAGTTTTATCATTATTTATAATGATAAAGATATTTTATAATTAAATATTTTATTATTTCCAAAAATCTATACATTTTTAGAATATTGTTTTAAGAAAAAATTATTGGACAAGTTCTCAGATTCTGAAAATATAAGAAACTTGCCGAATGACCCTTAGACATTACTACAGGAACAGGAGAAGGCAATAAACTTTTATTACTGGCATCGTTTTTCTATTTTAAAATTTATTTACTATTTTAAAAAAAAAAAATTTCCATCATTTTATATTAGAGTAAAGCTACATAAATATACGCTTCATACAAAATAATTCATACCGGTTGATGTAATTTTTTTACATGACTTCACACTATCCGCTTTTATTTATTTTATTTATCTTTAACTTTTAGTTATTTGATCACATTATAAGGCATAAGTTCATATAAGTTAGTTTGCACATATAGAATTATATGTTTTTAATAGTTTTCTAAATTAGATAATGATATATTTATAAAAATCTATTCTATTTAGCATTAACTTTATTAACATCTACTTCTTCACTTATTTGATCATTTAGCACAAAGTGCATGCAGCTATCGTGAAATAATACAAAAATTTGTTATTCTTCTATAGATATGCAAATATGCAATTTTTTATTAGTGTTCCACAAGACTAGTGTCAAAAATGTAATTGATAATGAAATAATTTGTACCTCTCCATTTTAATTATTTACATAATATTTTCTGCCACATTTTAAGTCAAAATTATTCAATAGTAATAGATACATCAAAAAATTAATTGCTAATGAAATAATTTGAACCTATTTATTTGAATTATTTAAGAGTAATAGATATTGATTAAGGTAGTTATTGGCTCTAACTTTTCACCGGCTGGTCAAACACTTAACTCAATTGACTATGATCCTCTTATAAACTATTAAGCTTGAGCGTGTCTAGTCGGTGTGAGACTCTAATAATAGATACGTCAAAAGTTGAAGATAGACTTAAAATATCAAGAAAAGACTTATACTATCACAGAATAATCTCCCTTGTATCTTTCTACATGGATTATGACACATTTAGAATATTTAGACATTATTTTGTAAAATTGTTTTTCAATACAATGAGTCTTAGAGGCGTCCGTTAACTTGTTTGATAATTAGTAATTGAATAACTTTGAATGATTAAGAATATATGAAATTATGATTATATTAAATAATATAATAAAGTAGTGAGTATGTTATTGTTATAAAAGGTAATATAATAATTAAAGTAAAATAAAAACGTGAATAAAATAAAAAGAGATAAGGGTTTTAAGGGGTATGATTGAAATTTAAAAATTTAAGTACAGGTATTTTTTTTAAAGTCATTTAAGGCAAACAAAAGTGTTTGTATTTAGTTAAAAACAAAAGTTGAAGATAGACTTGGAATATCAAGGAAAGACTTGCACAATCAGGAGGTCATCTCCCTTGACTTGTATCATTCTACATGGATTGTGATACTTTCAGAATATTTTGACATTATTTTGAGAAATTGTTTTTCAAAATTGATTCGAACAATAAGTCTTAGCGTTAGTTAACTTAGTTTGGTAATTGGTAATTGAATAACTTTGAATGAAAAAGAATATAAGAAATGTTTATAATATTTTTGTTTGTAATTTTTAAATATCGAATTATATGTATTAAGTATTTATTTTTACAAGTTTTAAATATCTAAAAACTAATATTTTTACATTAATGACCTTATCAATATTAAATATGACATACATTTAAAATTTGTATTACAAATCATGAATTTGATAATAACGAAAATATTAACTTTGCAAATAATTAACATTATTAATTGTTTTTAGCTTGATTAAAAAATTAATTCTAAATAAATATATTAAGAGAAATATAAGAAGTTGGGAAATTTATTAAAATATATGTAGAGAATAATAATACATACTCACTGCATTATTATATTACAGATGATATTTTTATCTTAAAATATATAGATATTTTGCGATCCAATGGATCTGGGAAGGAATTTGAAGATAGTTATTTTCTTTCTCACTCCAACAACTCCTACACCATTGGATTGTATTGAATTCACAGCTGAAAATGTGTCAAAAATTTAAATCAGAATTTAAATTAAAAAATACATCCCTATTATATTAAATAATATATTAAAGTAGTGAGTATATTATTGTTATAAAAAGATAATATAACAATGAAAGTAAAATAAAAACGTGAATAAAATGGAAAGAGATTAGGGTTTTAAGGGGCATGATTGAAATTTAAAAATTAAAGAATAGGTATTTTTTAAAAGTCATTAAAGGCAAACAAATAAGTTTTTGTATTTAGTTAAAAACAACTTCTTCTTTTTTTTTTTTTTTTTATTAAGAAGAATATGATTTATTTTCAGTTTGAAGTGGTGAAACTAAACAACCAATAAATATCTAAATATAAAATATTCAATTTTTTTTTTTTTTTAAGTTTTTTGGACACTAAAATAAAGATGACCTTATAATTTATATTTGCATTTCTTTTTTTTATTGTTTTTGCTTTCTAAACCGTAGGAAAAAAAATAAAATTTTATTCCACTAAAGTTTATATTTTGATTTCTGAAAGAAAAAAAATCATTAAACACAGAAAATACTGAATTTTTTAATTGAAAAATACTAATTTTATTTTTTAATATTTTACCCTTTGTGGATGTGGATCAGATGACAAACGAGATATTATAAATTTGTAATCAACATAACCAGTACATAAAATTTTCTTTGTTATTTCTTCCACAGTTCAAACTTCAAACATTCAATCACTCTTTCTTCATTCCCAAAACCATGGAGCGATACTTTTTCAATTCAAAATGTTTTTTGTTCCATTTCCTTCTTCTGTTTCATCTTATATGGATGATAACCTCAGCCTCATCAGGCTTTCACTCTGATGAACTCGCTTTACTTGATTTCAAGCAACGAATAACTCAAGACCCTCTTCAGATCATGAGCTCCTGGAATGATTCTATGCATTTCTGCAATTGGACTGGTGTTACATGCAGTCCAACTGATGGAAGGGTCACAATCTTGTACTTGAAATCGCAAAAGTTGGCTGGATCGATACCGTCTTCTATAGGAAACCTTACATCTCTTACTGCTATCAACTTGCAAAACAATAGCTTCCGTGGTGAAGTTCCTCAACAGAAATAGGCCGTTTAAAGCAGCTGCAAACTCTCAACTTCGCCTTCAATTACTTTGGTGGGAGTATTCCAACGAATTTATCTCGTTGTACAAATCTTAGAGTACTTAAATTTACTCGCAACGAGTTTATTGGGCAGATTCCGGACCAGCTTAGTTCATTGTCGAAACTGGAATATCTGCTACTTGGAGCTAACAATCTTACAGGAAGAATTCCAGCTTGGATTGGCAATATTTCTTCTCTTGGCTTTCTGGTCCTTGCGCAGAATAATTTACAAGGGAGCATACCCAAGGAACTAGGTTTGATATCAGGCTTGAGATTTTTTCAAATTGGTGGGAATTATTTCTCTGGTACCATCCCTACTTCAATTTTTAATCTCTCTTCAATGTACTATTTCTCTGTGTTTCAAAACCAGCTGCACGGGCAGTTGCCGTCAGATGTTGGACTCAATCTCCCCAATCTTGAAGAATTTAATTGTAATTATAACTATTTTACAGGAAGTATTCCTGTATCATTGCCAAATGCTTCTAAACTTTCAGGAGTTGATCTTTGTAATAATAGCCTCACTGGGAATGTTCCAGAAAGGTTTGGAAGCTTGCAAGGTCTCATTAGACTTAATTTGGAGTATAATAGACTTGGAAAGGGGGAAATTGGTGACTTGAAATTTCTAAAATTTTTGTCTAATTGTACTAGGCTTGTAGGACTGGGTCTCTATGGTAATGCTTTTGGGGGAGAGTTGCCTAATTCCATAGGCAACCTTTCAACTCAATTGCAAATTTTAGATATTGGAATGAATCTGATTCATGGAAACATCCCTGCTGGGATTGGAAACCTGGTTAACCTAACTGTCTTATCCTTTGCACGAAACTACTTAAGTGGTAGTGTTCCAGCTGAAGCTATTGGGAGACTACGGAATCTAGAGAAATTGTCTTTATGTAACAATAAGTTTTCTGGATTAATCCCATCCTCACTTGGCAACTTGACTAAATTAATTAAGCTTTGTTTGAGCAATAATGAATTCGAGGGAAGCATACCTCCAAGTCTTGGAAAGTGTCAAAAATTGCTAGCATTGTATTTAGGGAATAATAGTCTAAATGGCACCATACCCAAAGAAGTTTTCGGTCTTTCTTCCATATCAATTTATTTGGGTTTGTCTGATAATTTTTTGACTGGTTCACTACCACTAGAAGTGGGTAACTTGAAAAATCTTGGAGAGTTGGATGTATCCAAGAACAAGTTATCCGGTGAAATTCCTAGTAGCCTTGATAGTTGTACTAGTTTGGAACGTCTGTACTTGGGAAGTAACATGTTTGGAGGGACTATTCCTGAATCTTTGAAAAGTTTAAGAGGTTTAGAGGAATTGGATCTTTCTTGGAACAATTTATCTGGCCAAATTCCTGAATTTTTCAGCCAATTTTTGTTTCTCAAGTATCTCAATCTTTCGTATAATAAGCTTGAAGGTGAAGTACCCAAGGAAGGGATATTTGCAAATGCAAGTGCCAATATTTCACTTATTGGAAATGAAAAGCTTTGTGGCGGTGTTCCAGAACTACTTTTAAATGTATGCTCAACAAAAGCTTCTAAAAAGCATATTAATAAAAGAGTAGTAATCTCAATAATTATTGGTGTTACAGTTGCAACTCTGCTAGTGATTTCTTTTGTTTTATATTACAAAAAGAAATCTTCACGGACAAGTTCCACTACATCTTCGATCGAAAGCCAATTATGTTTGTCTTACTCTGACATTTTAAAATCAACTGATAACTTTTCCAATGAAAATTTGCTCGGTGTGGGTAGTTGTGGTTCTGTCTACAAAGGTACTCTTTCTGGTGATGGAAAAATTGTTGCAATTAAGGTGTCAAAAGTTCAACATCAAAGAGCCTTGAAAAGTTTCATTGATGAATGCAATGCTTTGAAAAGCATACGACATCGTAACATCCTCAAGATCATAACTGTTTGCTCAAGTGTTGATTATGAAGGTAACGACTTTAAAAGTCTTGTTTTTGAGTTCATGTCTAATGGAAGTTTGGACAACTGGCTACATCCGGTTCCTAACGAGCAACCTGTTGGAATCAAGAACTTGACCCTTATGCAGAGACTAAATGTGGCAATTGATGTTGCCTTTGCTTTTGATTATCTCCATCACCATTGTGAGACTCCAATTGTGCATTGTGACCTCAAGCCAAGCAACGTGCTACTTGATGAAGATATGACAGCCCATGTTGGCGACTTTGGATTGTCGAAGTTCCTTTTTGAATCATCAAATAATGCCTTGCAAAGTCAAATAACATCAGTTGCTCTAAGAGGTTCTTTTGGCTACATCCCTCCAGGTATTAATTTTTTTTTTTTTTNACTTGCTGGAATCAAGAACTTGACCCTTATGCAGAGACTAAATGTAGCAATTGATGTTGCTTCTGCTTTTGATTATCTCCATCACCATTGTCAGACTCCAATTGTGCATTGTGACCTCAAGCCAAGCAATGTGCTACTTGATGAAGATATGATGGCCCATGTTGGTGACTTTGGATTGTCGAGGTTCCTTTTTGAATCATCAGATAATGCCTTGCAAAGTCAAATAACATCAGCTGCTCTAAGAGGTTCTATTGGCTACATCCCTCCAAGTATTATTTTTTATTTTTATTTTTTTCTCAAAAGTATATTTGAATTTTAGTTCTGGATTATCATTTTATTTTTAAGAAATTCTTAAGGTCTTAACCTTCGTTTAATTAATTACAACATTTCTCATTCTAATTATTATCATAAATTTATCACATTTTTATCACTATTTATTATTTTATTATATTCTGAAAATACACGTGTAATACAATATAAGTAGTTTTTATGAATAGTGTCATTTCATTTTCTCAATACTTATCATTGATTCAAATTTTTCCCTTTAAAAGTCCAAGAACTCTATAAAATTTCTCATTTTAATTATTATCATAAATTATTTTTCATGAATAATTGCAACATCTAAAATTGATTTCTTTGGCCATAATAACTTTATTATTATTTAAATCTTTCAAAATACGAACACATGTCAAAAACATTATTTATAACAATATCAGATAATTAAATTACATAAAGTCTAAACAATTTTAATTAAATTTTTTATTAATTTTACTACTGTTATATCTCGTCCACCACTAGATTAAATTATTGACTATGCTTATGTGTATATTCATGTTCTGTTCCATCAATAATTCAAGATTATGCAGACCATTAAGAAGTACGAAATTTGTACACAAAGCAGAGCTTTATATTACAATATTGGAAAATGCTATAACTTGCTAATTAAATTACCATTTTTTTTTTTCTTTTGCTCTTTATATTTAGATTCTTTAGTAATAAATACTTAAACTCATTTCTTTTTTACATTTAACTGCTCTTTAATTTGTAAAATTTCTATAGATTTAATTCTATTTTTTGTTTGAAAAAAAGGATCAAGTCTCTTGAGCTGTTGAACACATAAGATAATATAAAATTATTTTGTCATTCTTATATTATTCATATAATAGTAAACAATTTTAAGTATCAATTTCTTTTATATATATTGACATGTGTCGACTCCAATTTCATACATTGTAGAATACATGGATGGTCATGTTTCCAGGCTCGGAGACATATACAGCTATGGTATATTGTTGTTGGAGATGTTTACAGGTAAAAGACCTACAGATGAAATGTTTAAAGATGACTTGAGCATTCATAACTTTGTTTCAATGGCTTTTTCAAACCATGTTATGGACATTGTTGACCCATCACTGCTCTTGGAAGAAGAAGATGAAGATGAAGATGATGGAGGTGAAGAAATCATGATGAGAAACTTTGAATCTCAAAGGAATAATAAAAAGAAAATGGAAGAATTCTTGGTTCCAGTGCTGAGGATTGGACTCGTGTTCCACAACATCTCCAAGAGAGCGAATGACAATGAATGATGTAGTCAACAATCTGAAAGCTATCAGAGACTCATTTCTCAAGTCTAAGGAGGAGATGAATTGATTACAATTCTCTCTTCATCCAAACATGTTGCATTGTTCTTGATTGCTTGTTTTGAAGTTGGTGTGATTTAATTTGCTCTGTTTTATAGATGTGTAATACTTTGTATTTTCATTATGCTCTGTTTCTATTGCTTTATAATGCTCTGTGTTTTCATGTTCAAACTTCATTGCTTTCGTTTTTTTCTTTTTTAATTTCTGTTATCCATAATATTTGACCTGTGTGTATTTGAAACTTCTTTTTTTAAATAAATACAAAATTTCTATGATACTTCAAATATACTAATTAATGAAACTAAGAACACAATTATAAAAGTGTAATTAATACATTTGAAATTAAAAATAGACTTCTTGTTCTGAAATCAATTGATAAATAGGAATAAATTATTTGGAAACACTACATCGACAAATATTAAAACCCAAAATTTTAGAATTTTATCTTGCTATCTTCGCTTGTTCTTCAATAAAATTAAATTAAAGAAAAAACAAAAAAACAAATTAAGCCCCACTCAATCAGTCAATCTCTTTCTAAAATATATATTTGTAAATAGTATTTTAAAAATAATTTTTATATATTATTAAGACATAGAAAGATAATGAATTGAACTTAAATAACTGTTTTTTAATATCCGAGCCAGGTAATACCCACCCTGTATACCCCAAGTCTGGGCCGATTCTAGGCCGGGCCTAAAAAACTGACATCCCTAGACAGATTTTCCAGTTATCAATTATCAACGGTCCCGACGACTAATTGACCAATTTTATTCTATAATATTTAATATAATTAATTACACAACTTACCATTAAAAAATATAGTATCAATAAAATATTTTATATACTTCTCCCTCTGCTCCTCTTATCACATGATTCAAATACACATTGAAGTGGAAAATGGGTTACCTAAAACATTATGCAATTGACTCTGCAAGTCAATAAAGCATTAACAAGAATAGAAGCTAAACTTTGTCAAAGAAAACAAATGTTCGAGTCTTATCATGATACACTGATTCATAAATGAGTAGAGCAATGCATCAAATCCAACATTGCATTCTCTAAATTTATAAACACACAAAATATTGAAACTATTATAAGTATGAGTATCATTAGCCACTATGGTCATAACATAACTCCCCAACTCTTTTCAAGAGATCTATATCACATGAGCAACGTATGCCAACTTTGACTCATCATAGTCATTGGTTAAGATAAAAGTTTGTATGATAAAGAATGGATTGTTCTATTAATTCCAATAATGTACCCACTTGGAACGAAGACCTGGAACGGGTTGATTTGAAACTTAGGATGAGCATTTTGTGTTGGTCCTTTTAGTGGGAAAGAGCAGCTTCCTGTTGAGTCCCATACTTGCATTTGATTTCTTCACCTTCTATCAGCTTCTCAACAGCATCGGATGGCAGGCTAATCATCTCTAATGTCTTCTCCCACACTTTATAAGAAGTTTCAACGTTGTGTGCTTCCTTGGAAGGATTTGTTGGACGGCAATCTTGAGATATGAATGCGCAAACAGGCCAATCATCCGCTCTCAACAAGTCACAGTACTCTGGAATCTGAGGATCAGTGGCTGAAAAAAGTGTGCTCCTCGAACCTACATTTATTGAAAATCATACCAAATTTAGCTTGTACTTCCTTTCACATATTTTTTCTACTTAAAGAAATATAATAACCACTCTTCCACCACAATTTAGCTGGCTAGTTTTCTTGTAAATTTTATAGATAAGGGTTTCCCGACGATCGACAAGATCAAGTATTGAAAGGGCACAAGAAAAGGGAAGAAGAATATGCCCATCTAGTTAATGCAATTGCTAGAATAGATTTGAAGCTGAGAAAGATGTCAAAAGGCATTGATGTCTGATGAAAAAATAATGCTTGAGAAAAGTTGTTTCATTACTCATGCAACTAAGAAAACAAGAAAGTGGCACTAGCATTTGAAAAGACTCACCTTCTTGCGGACTAAAGATGAAATATTGTATAAGATGATAAGCAGCTTGCACAATTTTGGAAAGATCCCTTGCCTGCATTTGATTAAAGACAGAACCAAAAGATTAAAATAGATCAATCTAGTTTCAAAATATTTCTACTGGAAATCTGAGTCTAAATAAATCACTTAATTAGATCTCATCATTGCTGAATATTAAATGTGGTTACATTAACATTAAGAATACTCTTATAAACTGAATATACAAAGCATTATGCTCAAAGAATATCAATAATTATAAAGTGTGAAAATAAGAAAAAAATAAAATAAAATAAGCAAATTAAGGTAGATGAAAGGCAATGAACAAGCAATGCCAAGCCCATTTGTATATAAGAGCTTGTACACTTAGCATAGTAATACTCTTAACATTACTTTCCATCTAGTGTACAATTAACAAATTTAAGGACAGTTAACATATTGCAAACAGTGAGCTGCCTCAAAACGATCCTCAAAAACACTTAAAAGGGATTGCAGGTTGATTCTATATGCCTATGAGGTTGTCCAAGTTGTATTCATCTTTCTTTTCTGATGTTCCTACAGCATCGATTACCAAGATTCTTATGTTTTTTTTTATGAAGCCACAGACCCTTATTCTTACAAGGGTTCTGTCTTTTGTCCAATCAGGTCAATTGTTTTATCTCTTTCAGTTTTCTAATTTAAATCTTTTTGTTTCCTATCAAAAACAAGAAAGTAAATTGACAAACACCAAATCAAAATTTCAGTGATAAACTTGTGTTTCCTGCTTCCTACTACTTGGAATTTGACAAATTTAGCAATTAGATGGAGATGCATTCCCAATCCGACACACATGCAAAAGCTATATAATATTACCTCCTATCGAAGATTATATACCTAAAAAAAGAACTTCAAGATAAGCACTATATTTGAAGTCCTGTTTAGTGAACTTTTCAAATCCAGATGATATATAAATTGGAACTTCGATCTCTACGCTAGAAGCTGCACAATATTTATAACAGGATATGTAAGATGTCTAGAGAATTACAAGAGTTTAACTTTAAAATGTGAATAAAAAAGTTCTGCATGCCACAATCTTTCAAAGGAAAACTCATATTGCACAATTTTTTCTTCTGTCAAAAGGATATTATATCATTTTATCGTCCCACAACTTCTCTAAAGCAGTAATTGTACAAGTCTCCTGATTATGAGATGAATTATAGTTCATGTTGAGGAACATACATGTGGAGAAACATGCTTTAATGTCAACATCCTTTGTCAAGATAAGAAGGCGACTGGAAGGCAGCAAGAGACTTACAACATTCGTGTGGACAATTCCAGGAGACACACATAATACATTTATGCCAGATTCAGCAGGCAGTCGCTTTTGAAGGACACTACTAAACATAATCTGCAAAGCAATCTGAAGTCTGTCAGATGGCTATTCCTTCCGAACAACTCAGAAAATAAGTAATACAAGATATTAAATTAGCTGTTTTTCTAGGTGATTTGAAAGCCATTCAGGACCTTCTACATCCTAAGGATAATCGGACTACAGCAGATGTCAAGAAAAAAAAATGGAAAAGCAAAGGGCATAAACTAGATAAACAAAATACAAACTATTACAGCAACCTTAGCGTCTAGAACTTAAATGGACAAGCTTCTAATAGTTGCTAAAAACATGTGCACACCATTGGAGAAATTATAATATTATTCAAAATTCACTGCCGTCAAGTTTCAGTTACTGACATTTATTTAAGTTAGGGAGTCCAAAACAAATCTTTGTTCAAATGCTATAAACAAGAATAATCAGACTCATGTGAATTATGCTGTTTTTGGAAAGTGAAAAAAAGGCCTAAGCCCTTAGAGAGTTTCTGGTTCTAGCTATTTCATGGACAGCTAGAGGTGAAAAAAATTAAAGGTTATCTGAAGACAGTAGATGGGAATAAATCAGTATTAATAAGACAGAAAGCGCTCTTAGCATCACTATGAGTTTTGTTTCAAAAGACTTTCAAGATTTTTGGTTTCTCTTAATTCAATTTCAATTGGCAAGTGGTTTTCAGTTGAATCTGGCACTATTTGTTTCAAAAGACTTTCAAGATTTTTTGTGTCTTTATTAAGCTACAGACCCTCCTAATAGATGGACTTGTTTTCTGCGGTGGACACTGGTATACAGCTTATCTCCTTCAAGTTATTAATAACCTCTTTGTTTCCTATCCAAAAATAAAAGTATAATTACTCAATGACCAAGTACAATAAAATACTACTGACTTTAATATTATCATGAAATCATTAAAGAAGCTGAATTATTTAATAAATTACGTACAGACATTTAACAGAAAACAAGCCGTGATATTTTCTCCAATCATCCCAATAAATTTGCCAGATATGCCAAATATATTAAATAAAATGTAAAAGCAACACTAATTTCCAGGTATTCAAATTTGTGGAAGAATTAAATATTGATTTCTAACGGCACCTGTGCTAGCTTGCGGCTTGTGTATCCCAATAAGCTTGTAAATTTTCCCTTCCCAGAAACAACATTCATGTCTTCTGGGTCAACAAAACCAACATAATGCATCTACAACCAAAAAGAGGGGACAAAGTACTTTCAGACATACACGATAACAGTCGGATGATTAAAGTATGAGCTGGATTTACGGGCAATATGGTTAATCAACTACTACTGCATTATTTACATTATGTAGAGAAATTCATTCTCTCTTTTTCCAGATGCCAATAACAATGAGATTAGCACACCCTTAATATTCTTCTTTGAATCATATCAATGGCATGCCAAAATTTCTTGCACCCAATTTACAAGTTTTCATACAGCAACTAAATCAAATACTAAGTCTAACTCTGGCCCTCCAGATATCATCATTTCATGGTCATGTCCCCAACTCAATATATATATATATATATATATTTTTTTTTTATTTTAAATGTTGTCCCCAATATTACTAAAGCTTGATAGATATAATGGACAAATAGGAATATAAAATTCTTTTCTTTTCTTTTCTTTTCTTTTCTTTAATAATAATAAACACAATACAAAGAAAATGTCAATTATGTAACTTACAACAGAATTCACATTAACTGTTCGACTTGGAGATCCTCTAATAAGGGATGGCAAAAGGAAAACTGAAAGCAGCGCTGGAGCCAGATGATTCACTTGCATGTGCTCTTCATGCCCTTCTTTTGAAATTTTTTGTG